ATAGAAGCTATAGGAGGCTATTTGAAGCCTGTGAAGTTTTAGGGTATAATGACTTGAAACTCTGCTTCACCGTGGTGCTGTTCAGTGCCATTTTGGTCAGACATGAGTGGGCAGGCAAGTTGTGTGTGTTTTCAGAGAGGAAGATGAGCAAGGTACTACCACAGCACATGAATCCAAACTCCTTGTCTGGTGCATGTTCATGTAGCCTACCTACCATGGCATAGCACTGAACGAAACCTGAAGAGCCCCACGTACCTTCCAGGCTACAATTTGTTATGGGAGACAGATCAAACCTAGATGTCAACTCTTCTGAAGACAGGCATTTATTTGTAGCCTTTTATGCCTGCTAATAGGAGGAAGGAAGAGTAAGCTTCACCCTGCATCATACCTTGCATAGGGACATAAAAGTCTGCGTTAGAACAAACCTGGATTCTGAACTCAACATGCTGTCTTCCTATTCTAGCTCAGGCAGAATACTTTCTCTTGCACATCTCCTTTTATTTCACCATCAGTAACAACAAAGCACTAAAAACTGGTTCTTACTGAAAAATCCTCTACAAAAGTGAGGGGGCAAGAAGAGTAAGGGCATGGTGATCACATGCTGCTTATTTTGCACAATCTTTGCCAGGATTGCCTGTCACATCAGTGAGCACATGGGAGGTAACAATGTAGTGGCTTTTTGGCAGTGGGCAGGTAATAGATGATCTTAGAAGTCTTTTCCAACCTTAATGATTCTATGATTCTATACCCAAGTCATTAAGCTGGTTCCTTAGACCTTCAGCAGATAAAAGTACCTTAGGTACTTCAGCAAATAAAAACAAGTGACTCCCCAACACCCCCTTTGGGATCCATTCTAGTCAGCATTCTTGGACTGATACAACCAAAACAGGAAGATGTGTTATTTTCCTTTTAGATGCATTAAGCAATAAACTCATCTTCAACACAGAGAAATCTGCCACTTCCATGCTGGTATGCTATTTCTACTTCTCAGGATATGACATCATGTTTTGTGACTTTGATTTGAAGAAGGAATGTACTCCCTCATACATCTCTAGGAAAATAAAATATTTACTAGGCCAAATCAAGACAGAGATCTGTTCTGCAGCTTATCTGCAGGAGATTCCAGCACAAGATCCCCCAGCAACTAATATTTAATTAGCTGTAACTATGAGAGGAAAACACAAGAGAGCCCCTATCATGGCCTCAGGCACAGACCCAACAGATAGGAGGCATCAGCATACGTTTTCACTCCTTTTATCACTCAGAAGAGTTGAAAACCAACCTAGCTTTGCACCAGCTTTTAAATTTGAAGTGTTAACTCTGAAGAAAATTCTGGCATGGTGACATTTTGGGAAATTTTACTGATTTCTTAATACAGCCTCTTTGTACCAGTCTGACACCTGCTGCCTTCTCCCTTGGTGCAGTTTAGGAGCTGAGACATTCAACTCAGACTTGTTGAACTTATGAGACAACTGAAAACCTACGGGCAGTGCTGAGTTTAAGCCTTCTTTGTAGCTATTGTAGAAAATAATTTTCTACAGATGTATTTCCCTTGGAAGAGCACAGGCGTTGGTATGGTTTGAGTTGGAAGGGACACATTCCCCTGTCATGAATAGGGACACCCACAGCTCCACCACATGCTCAGAACCCCAACTACCTTGGGTGACTCCAGAGCACAAGCCACCTCTCTGGCCAACCTGTGCCAGTGCTTCACTTGCAGCAACAAAGACAAGCCCATAGCTTTCCTTAATAGTAAGATGCTTTCTGCCACTTATTCCCCAAGATTCAACCAACTTGATTTATCTCTTCTGAACACACTGACATTATGATAGGTCCTGAGGTCACAGGCAGAAACCCAATATGTGAAGAAACTTACTCTGAGAATGACAAATGGTGTGAGTATCAAAGCTTGTTAAGAAAATCTTGAAGGTTTTTTTCCACTTGATAGTCAAAACCCAAATGAACACCATCCCAAGCAACCTGCTGTAATTGATGCTGCTTTGAACAATGGGCTTAGACAAGATGACCTTCAAGGGATCCTGCCAACTTCAATGCTCCCATTATTGTGCGATTCTTTGTCCCAGTAATGGTGTACCTATTGAATATTCAATTTACAAAAAATATCCAAGCACTAGAAGTCAAAAATTGAGGGAGGGGGAAGCACTAATAAATAACTGGATCAAGTGATCTGGGAAATAGGGGAACATTTTCATCCCTGGCTTCAGGAATTTTGACAAACAAATCAGAACATGAAATGCTATGTTCAGTTCACGATGCCATCTGCTGGCTCATGCAACGTGGTCCTAAGCTGCACCTATGAATGGAATATTACAAAAGCAAGAACTTGCATTTGATTCACAGTTCTTGTAGCAAACAGGGAACCACGTGCTTCACCATGGCATGAATAAGAATGGAGCAGGAGAACTGGGGAGCTGACTTTTAACACGTAGGCACAAACAGAGAAGTCACAAGACTTTAATCAACCACCCTGTTTTACATGTTCCATGCACATCACACGATTATTTTGGGAACAGCTTATTATTTTGTCTGCTTTACTGTAAGTGTTAATGCTTGTAAATGCTAATCAAGATTCTTGCTGTGGTTTCCCACCTCACCTAATAGGATTGCATTAGAGCTTGTTTGAAAATTTGCATTCAGAACCACAAGGGGGATCCTGTTTATCTCCCTTGCCTCAGAGTGATGGAAGCTGTGTTACATTGAAAGGATGGAAACTAACAGTTACAGGGCCAGTCTCAATGCAGCCAAATTCCTTTGTTATGCAAACGAGCACCCTGCAGTTACTTGGAAATTGTCACAATCCTCAATCCAAAGCGTCTAGCAGAAGCAAGAAACTATTATTATCCAGCAAACAGCAAGGGCTTTGCAATGATTTCAGGGTTTGGGTGAATGTGGGATATATATTGCTGTCTGACTATTGAAATATATTACAAAAATATGACAAATAAATTATGAACATCACCAGACATGGATAGAAGCGACTATGAACTTCTTCCTGCTGCTATGAGTTTGGCTTTGGTTTGATCAAAACAGCCAATCCTGAATAACAAGAGCAATAATAATAAAAACAGTGCTTAAAAATGTCCCCCCAATTTTTTATTTTTTTTTTTTTTAAAGACTAAGACTTTTTCAAGCTTTTCATTTCATTGATGTGATTGAAAATAAGCACTCATTTAAACTACGTAGACATCTGTCCCTTCTCTGGACATAATATTTTCAACATCAGTTTATAAAAATTATCATACAGACCACCAGTCAGAATTTTTTTAAGGTAAGAAAGCTTAATGAGAGGTGAAACAATTGTAAGAAATCCATAATGAAAAAAACCCATCTGAAAATCCTGACAGTTCTTGTGAGAGATCGAATTGGGAGCTCAGCTTTCTGAGCTGATGGCTTAGAAACAGACCCTGCTGCATGGAAGAGATCCTTGATGATCCTTGGGATCCCCTCCAACTCAAGCCATTCTATTCTATTTTATAGTACTCTAAAAAGTATTTAAGTGCTGCTAAAACACATGGAATTTAGGAGCCTAAATATCACTGCAGATTAGGACATTGCATATGGCAATGTCATCTTAAAACTGGTTCACCATATTTTGTAAATACTTTACAGGCTAGCACAAGAAAAAATTGGCATTTTTTTTAATGTTATTTGCTGAGATTTTCTGTTGAACTTTCCAAAACATAATATATGTGGGAAGATAGAGCTGTAATAAAAGCAATATGATAATTAGCATAGTCCTGTTAATTATTTGTATCTTACAAGTTAACGTTCTGAGATAAGGGAGAAGAGCAGTGTTAAATATCCTCTGGCTTTCCTATAAATCAGCTCCCTTGTTTATTGTAAACCCGACCTGAGCAATGACAAGGATGAAAGAATTACCTCTGCTTCCCTAAGAAGCTTGGCAGCTTTCCCATTGCTCATGCTTTGCATCTCCTAACAGTCTGACCCCATTTGTTGTGATCTTCATTGTGGGAGCTGAGCACTCACTGTCTTCACTCTCTTTGCAAGCCTGACATTGAGTAATAGCTTTCTAAAAATGCCTTGAAGTCCATTTTAGATGTGACAAAATGGTTTGTAACAAAATGGGCAAATGCAAAAACCTCATTGGATTTACATAAAGATCCCTCGAAGAAGGAATGAAAACTAATTGCTACCCGTGTTCAGCTATCCTGTTGAACACTCTTCATGGAGACAATACTAATGCATTTTTTCCTGGGGATCTGTACCCTTTCTGACAAGAGTGCCTATCAAAGAAAGAGTAACACATTATTCAAATAAAGAAAAGTTCCAGAAAAGAGCATTGCATATGAGAACACTTTCAGATACATCACTTCTTTCCAAGAATTTGCAGATCCTCTTGGAAGATCCTACCATGTGTAGGTGATGTTTACAGACCCAGATACTGAACGAGAAGTGTAATGAAGTCTCCGTGAAAGATGATAAACTAAAGAGGAACAAAGTAAAAAATCTTTCACAATAGCAAACACTCCAGTCTACATAAGACTAACTATAACTTCTATGTTAAATTATACTTGAGATTTTCTCCCCTACTTCTAAGTACCTAGAGCGGGGAGCCATCTACAAAACATTAAAGAAGTCACTTACAGCAAGGAACAACTGAAAAAGAGTGCTTTTAGGATTAAAAAAAATAGGTACAATTGACAAAAAACCTCTATGCTTGGATGACTGTCTTTTTCTAATTCCTTTAGAATAGAGTCAAAGCTGAAAAGCTTCAGTGAGAAATACTTCATTCTTTATTTTGACCATCACAAAAAAAAAAAACTCTGCGTCCTGTCCAAATGCTTTGCCCAAAACAGAAGAAGTTCCCACCATGGGTAAGTATATTACCAATATTTTATGGCAATGGGGCTGAGCACGTGCATAATCAATGAATACACAGATGTTATAACTATGAAATAAACAAGAGAGTTTGGCTAAGTAGGTTATTATACCAAAAAAAGAATAGATACAGTGCTTACCCTTGTTCTGGGCTCACTGGAAAACTCCAAAGGAAGAATCTCTAGAAAAGACCCTTCCTTGCTGGTAGTCAGCTCTTAAATGGGTCTAGGAGAGGTGGAGCCAGGCTCCATCCTTCCAGCAGCACAGGCGAATTGCCTTCACCTGTGCTCCCAAGGCTGACTCATTGCTCACCTCAGGTGATCAATCAGAGGTTCAGGCCGTGATTCAGCAGTTCCCATGCAGTATGCCATGAAGAAACAGTAATCTGGACACATATCTGTAAGCAAAAATATCCAACATTTTGATACATGTTATAAGTCACTCACTGTAGAAGTTGGAATGAAGTTGGTGATGGAAATCATGGTGACCGCAGTGGAAAAAAGCTTTCCTGAGGTGTAAAATAAAGAAACCAGCAAAGAGCATTAAGTACTACATGCTCTATCAGTACCATTCTTGAGCCTACCTACATGGGAGTCTCTCAGTTACATCTCACTTCATGAAGGATCCTATTACAGAATCATAGAATTATTTGAGTTGGAAGGGTCCTTTAAAGGCCATCTAGTCCAACTCCCTGCAATGAATATGGACTCCATCGGATACTCAGGGCCCTATCTAGCCTGACCCCAAGTGTCTCCAGATATGGGTCTTCTACCACCTCTCTGGTAACCTGCTCCCCTCCGACCTAAGTCTCCTCTCTTTGAGTTTGAAACCATTTCCCTTTGTCCTGTCTCAGCTGACCCTGCTAAAGGGCCTGTGCTCTCCATGACTCCTACGATTCTGGTTTTGGTCACGCACCATGCATTGCACATCAGATGCAAATTCTCATCCATTAAGAGTTTGATCACCACAGATATGGACTCACCATGAAACACTGATTTTTCTTAACCTGTGGAATAAAAGAAGTGAACATGAACACATTCTCTGCTATAGTAAGGAAAGCCTTAGGGACGCTTTCAGCAACAAAAACAAAAACAGAAAGAAAATCTGGCAATTAAGCTGACACTCTTCACTCAAGCGAAATCAGCCACATGCTTAGTGTCTTCTTTCTAAAGTAGAGATTGCAGAGTGTAGCCTTAAATATCCAGATTTTATTTCATAGCTCTTCTGCTCTATACTTCATTCAGTTTAGCTGTATTATTTCTACCAAATGTATTTCTAGGGTGTAACAACACATTTCAATGCCTTCTGTTTCTCCTTGAGTCATTTTCCCTGCTGCCTGTTGCCAAACTGCTTTAAGTAATGTGATTATTCAAAAAATAAATAAGTTGCTGTGAAATGCATCTAAATGTGATCCTCTCTGAAATGTTATTTAAATTCTGTATTACATCTTTGGCACAGAGGTTTGGGGATATATTTTTTTTAATCTTTGTCTTTCGGTTGCAGCTGAACTTTCCAGGAATAAAACTCATAGGAGTGTTATACATGATATGATGAAGTTCTGCAAAAGAAATGGCATAAACTTTTATCCACCTGCTGGAGTCAGATGATTTCAAGAAATGCATTCTGCTCAAAGTACCAGTCATGTTTCTCTGCTGTATGTGGCTCTGAAGCAGCCATGGCTTTCATTGCTTTGCATTGCTTTGCATTTAGGGAACCTTCTGCTGTTTTTCTGTGCATATTATGAGAAGCAGTGAGAACCTGTCAGCCTGAATTATTTTCGTTCTCAGAAATATGATCAAGAAGAGGCAGTCTTTATAGAAAAAAGCATTCTCTGCTTTTCCCTGTAACCACCTTTATTATATGTTAAAAATAATATATATATGTAGATATACCTACATTTTTGAAGGTACCAACTCTGAGAGGTACTCTGGAATTGGAAAAAAAGAAAAGAACACAGAAAGCAGAACTGCTTCCCCTTCTGTATCCACTATATTCCACCATCAAAACACCACTGATTCAGAGATCATTTCAACCACAAAAATTGTATCAAATAACTAAAGAAACTTAAGCACAGCTCACACCATTTAGTGAGTTAAGTTTCCACAATCCCTAATTTCTAGCAGTTTTGTTCAAAGGGCTACACTGATGAGGGCAGCAAGAAGCTTAGTGGGCATGGTGGTGTTGGGTTGATGATTGACTTTATGGTCTTAGTGGTCTTGTCCTAACTTAATGATTCTATGATTCTAAAATCTTGTCCTGATCTACTTGTAGGCAGACAGGCACCTCCAGAGTAGTCTGAAAGGGTCTGTGGCTCAATTTTGTCTTGCAAATAGTCTTGATTTGGACAGGAAGGTGACATACAGCAACCAAATTCCCAAGAGGCACTGGGCACAACCTGTGCACAACTCTCCCTGCCCATCAGGCAGAGCTGCTGTGCTGGGCAGGTACCAGAGAGCTGGAACAGTGATCAGAGAGATGTAGGGTCTCCTCCTTGAGAATCTCCAAAAGCCACCAGGATGTGAGGATGGGCTCTGGGTGTCCCTGCTGGAGAAGGACCAAGCCACAGAGACCTCGAGAGATCTCCATTCTCAGCCAGGATTGGATTCTGGGATTTTGTGATAACAGGAAGGAGTCTCTTGATAGAGAAGATGGCACCCATTAGCAACTTGTGTTTCTTCAGCAAGCTCCACTTTCTGAGGGAGGTTACACAGGAAGCCTTTGGCATTGTGGGGTAATATCCCAGAAAGGATTTATCCATCTGCTGCCCACTGCTAATTGATATCTGATTATAATGGATAAGGTCTAAAGTATTATTAAATTTTCAACTAAACATTTCACTGCAGAAGACACTGCTGAAGATCTTCTTGGGGCTCCTCCTCAAGTCTTTCTTTACGTAGCAAGACACTTCTTCTAAAAGATAGTAATCCCCAAAAGAAAAGAAGAAAAAATAAATTCTGGCTGTTGGGGTCAAAGTTCAGCCATAATCCAATTAAGATTTAGTTTTAATAACCCTTTATGAAAATAAATGAAAAAAATATAATAGAGAAAAAGCTGTGAGGTTAATGAGAAGATCAACATGAAATTTCACATAGAACTGCTGCTCCAGTGTTTAGAGAAGAATGAGAAGTGAATATATATTGCTTTTGGCCCCAGAGTTGGGCTTATCACAGAATGAGAAAGATCCCAGATAATCCAGAAAGATTTTTAATAGAGTTCTGTGCATGCCTGGGTCAGAGCTCTGGGAATTCAATCATTTCTGTATGACTAACAAACACCAAGTTAATATCCACAAGGGACCAACAGGGCGATCTGTCTGACTTCTTACAAAATAGAGCTCATGAGATTTCATCCACTTGTCCTGTATCACTTCAGAAACACATCTAGTCTTGATCTGCAGATAGCCAAAGATGGAAAACACACTGCATCCTCTGGGAGTTTGTGTCACTGGTAAAAATGTACATGCCATTGGATATTTGAATACCTCTAATTCTTTTTTTTTTCTTTTTCTTTTTCTTTAGCTGATCATTCTGGTCAATCTTTTGCTTCCTGAGTTAAAGGACTCTCCTATATTTGGGGTTTTATCCCCATCAAATTTAGCAATTCTGATAGTTATGTTTTCTTTCTCAGACTTCTATCCTGACTTCAACTGAGATGGGCAAAATTTCCTTCAGAGCATTTGGCACAGTGCTGTGTTTTGGATGAAAACAATGTTGATGACACAATGATGTTTTAGTTGTCACTGAACGGTGCATACAAGGAATCAAGGACTTTTGCCTTCTCATATTGCCCATCCAGCAAGGAAGCTGGGAGAGTACAAGAATGTGAGGGGGAAGGGGGGGGACCAGAATGAGGACGGTTGATCCAAACTGGCCAGGGGAATATTCCATCCTTACAACATCATGCATCATGTTGAAATAATGTCATCATTATCTCAAGACAAGATGTGATCTTTTTGCATGCTTAGTGTTATAATGCACATTTGAAAGTATTTTATCTTTCTGCCTTCATGTGGCTAAATGCTGTACTTGTGTCTTTCCTAAGCTTAATAAAATTAAATGAATTACTGCATTATTTCATCTAGCAATTTAGAGATGTGATGGTTTGCATTTACTAATTTGTACTGCATTTGTCACATGGTACCAGTTAATTATCCTAATGAATATCAATTTTGAGTTAGACCTCTGCCTTCCAACTTGGCTGTTCAACTTGAATTTACTGATCACATCATCTCCCCCACAGACACTGCAATCACAGTTCTCACTGTAGCTCCAAGTCACACTGATGGTGAACTGGGTCTAACTATCCTTTGTGTACAGTGCACTAGAATTTAAATACTCACCCTAGAGTTTAAATATTTCCTGTATGTGACTGTGATTGATAACTGAATCCTATATGTCACACATAGCCTCCTTCTTGACTTATTCTAATCCTCCAGAAATGTTCTCAATTACCATGAAAAGAGCATTTTTTTCACATTGCTTTGTCATGTTCTGGGTAATAATTATGGGCAAGATTTTATACAAATGCATTGAGACTGCTTGTCTGTTGTGAAAATTAGGCAATTGGAATCCAATTCTTTCCCCTCTGTAATTTTCTGAAAAGGTTCATCAAAGCCTGTTGTCTCTTCAACAGAGAGAACACTTCTTTGTTAAGCACTGTGAATGCCTGCCAAACAGGTGACTGTGGGGGAAGATGAGAAAGATTAATAGTTGCAAGCTTGGTAACTGCCTGTAGGGAAGAAAAAGGCTGAACAGGAGTTTCATAGTATGAAGGATACAGTGGTCACACACTATTTCTAACTGCAGAAAATGGAGAAATCTGTGGAAATCAGCAAGCTGTTGAAACCAATTGTCATTGCATTTTCTCCAAATCAGGGGAATTGTGGGTTTTATCTAAGTTGTTGGGTAAAAGAATGTAGAACAAACCTACGATTCATATTCTTGCCCGATAATTGTGTAGCAAAGATTGGGCACAATGTCATGATAATACAAAGTCTTTCATCTGTAAGCTGTTGATTAGTCTTGGTAATTGGGCACCTTGTGTAGAAGATTTAGACAGTTTAAATTCATGCCCTTTCTTTATATTACCACTGAGTGAATGCATTCTACATAAATAGACTATACAACTGACAAGCTATCTCATTTCCTATGGAGAAACTGGTGTTCCTGGTTTTAGTTATCAAATCACAAGGTTTTAGGA